CAATTAAATACCTGTCCATCTCTCTCCAGCAAGAAATATCGTCTGTGTGAAAGCCAACCACCTGGAGAACATGCCCCCAAAGCACAAACAAGTAGCCCAGGTAAATGAAGAAGTCATGTCTGTTCCTAGACTGTGGAATAGAAGGACTGCAATTACTCTTATTTGAGAGAACATTGTCATTTTAGTTAACTCCGTGTTTTCAAGTTCATTTTCACGGTCTGAAAAGTTTCATGCCTTACTCTGGTTGATAGATAAATATTTTTTTAAAACTTGCATGTTAATGTTGCAGCCTCTAAACTGTCCCAAAGAATGAAATTAATCAAATGACAATGAATTCCTGCCAATCTGTTAAACCACAGAAGAATTGCAAATTGAAATTATTAAAATGTCTTGTCTTTCAAGAGCCTGGAAAGAGCTTTCACCCAGTCTATTGAAAACGAACAGAGAAACCAGATCACACTGGCTGAGAGGCTGCCTGTCTGGGGGTTTAAGAGCAGGGCAGTTGTCTTTGTGGTGCTACCAGTGCTGTTTTCCCTCCCCTCAGTGCTATGAAGAGTTCATCTGTGGTTCCCCCCTGGATTCCTGCATCCTCTTCCATGCGGGCGGGCACTGGCGGGAGCTCGTGGTTCGGACCACCAGCCGTGGCCACACCATGGCCATCGTCACCTTCCACCCCCAGGAGCTGGGCCAGGTGAGTGTGTGCAGGACAAGGACCCCTGGCAAGGGGCACAGCAGGTATCTGGCTCACCTGAGCCTGCTGGGTGTACCCCTGGGGAGAGGTGTTACCCAAACAGCAGGTTTTCCTTTCTTGCTCTTAACAGGAGGCCCTGGCTGCTCAGAAAGCACTGCTCAAGGAGTTCTTCACGTGTGGACCTGGGGCAGTCTGTGCCTTGACTTCACTTTATTTCCAAGAGAGGTATATGGCTTGGCACAGGGAATGAGTGGAAACAAAGCCACCTCCTTTTCCTCCTCCTTCTCTGATCAAATTCTATCATTTCAAGGAGTGCTTGAAGAGAACGACACATGTTTGGATCCCTCATAAAGATGTGGCTTTAAAACGGCCCCATCTTTTTTTTTTTCCAAACTTATAATACTTGAACACACTGTGGCTTGACCTCATGGGAGTTACGAGCCTGGCAAACTAAAGAAAAAGCCCACAGTGACTTTTCTAGGACAGTAAATCACATTAGCAGCAAAACTGGGGAACAGACCCGAGGTCTGCTGTGTTCTGCTAGGTCATTTTGATCCTTTTAATGAAATCTAGGCTGTGCAAGTCACAGATCCCTTACAAGGAATCAAAATTCTTTGATCTCAGTGAGAGGCTCACACAAAGTAGAAGTTGCCTGGAGAGAAAACCATCCTCCCCTGCCCATGAGCACCCTGGGAATGGCAACCAGCTCTCTGCTGCTTCCTAAGAGCTGGTTTTTGTGTGGTCTGCCAGCACCATGACACGCTGCTCCCACGAGCAGTCTCCCTACCAGCTGCTCCAGGGGGAGCCTCACATCTTTGAAGAACTGTGCGGCCTCAAGTTTCGCATCTCTCCAGATGCCTTTTTCCAAGTGAACACGGCTGGAGCAGAAGTTCTGTACCAGGCAGTTGGGAAGCTCTGTCAGGCTACAGGGGACACTGTCCTCCTCGACATCTGCTGTGGAACAGGTGGGTAGTGGCCGTGTGAGCCTGGCTCCCAGGGCTGGTGCTTTGCTGGTGACAGAACTGAGCCTTGCTGCGTCAAGGCCTGTTCCCTCAGCACGAATGCACAGCGCATTTTTGTGTCCCGTGTTTCCAGGCACCATCGGCCTCTCCCTGGCTCGCCAGGTGTCCAAGGTTATCGGTGTGGAGGTGGTGGAGAAGGCAATAGAGGACGCCAGGTGGAACGCGGCGTTCAACGGTGAGTTCGAACTCGCCGCGGCAGAACGTTTCGAGCTGACTGCTGAAAAATCGGAAGCAGAAGTGAGCAGGGGGACCCTAACACGGCAAAGGGTGGTTCATGTTGTGCCTAACACTTGGTGGGACTCTTGTTCTGTTTGCTTGGCAGGGATCTCAAACTGTGAGTTTCACAGTGGGAAGGCAGAGGCCGTGTTGCCACAACTCCTGGCGTCGTGGGAGGACGCCCGGCCGCTCGTTGCTGTGGTGAACCCATCTCGGGCTGGGCTACGTGAGAGAATATGCTATTTATTTTTTATATTTTCATCTTAATTTAGTAACAGTTCTCCTCTCATCCCTCATCCCTCCTGGGAAGCAGAGGGATTTCTCCCGCTGCTCTACCCTGCTTAATGTGCTAAGCTGTCAGCAGCATGGGGCTGAGAAAATGGCAAAATACCCATCTTTTTTACCCCTGTATTTTCGGCAGTTCAGGGCAGTTCTGTGAGGCTCTGTGTGCAGTCACTCCTCCTGGGCCACTGGGAAAGCAGGCTGTGTTTTTGCAGATTACAGGGTCGTGCGGGCCATCCGGAATTGCAGGTCCATCCGCAGGCTGCTCTACATCTCCTGCAAGCCAGAGGGTGAAGCCATGAGGAACTTCCTTGAGTAAGCACTCTCCTCCCCTCCACTGACCTTAGTGACAGACCCTATTATGTCCAGACAACGCCTGGGGAGGTGTTTGTTGTGATTAAATTTCTCTGGGTGGGTTCTGCAGGTGAGATGCAGGACTAAGTGCAGGGGCAGGAGGTGTTTATGCCGCTGTGTTACTTTGGGTTTCCCTGCAAGTTGCACTCGATGGTTTAAGGTAGGGGGGTATTCTTTGGGTTTTGTGTTCCATCAGGATGCCTTGTTGCATCAGAGAGGAGTAGAAAACAGTGCAAAGATGTTATAATGGCATTGTGCAACCTTCCCAAACAAAAGAGCACATCTGGATGTGGGACATGGAATCTACCGGGTTCACTGCAGGAAGGTTCACCCCTAGCCAACAAAGTGAAGCCAGGGGGATTAGTCACCTGCTGAGGGTTAATCATGGGGCTTTATCTGCAGTAGGCCCATTTGCAGGTGATAAATCTGTCTGCTGGTGACACTGAAGGTAGTGCAAAACTGGAAATTGCTTCCTAAGGGTATTAACTGTCTTTCAGCTGGGTGAGAAAGGGAGCTTTAAACTTGCCACTGACTGCTCAGCTTGTCCCTACGATTTTCAGAGCTGGTTTGGGATTCAGTTTTGGTGGTTCCACACCTCAGCCAGTGTCAGCTGCAGACTCTGAGGGCCATTAGCCAAACAAACAATACCTCCTCGGTGGGTCTTCTGCACTATTGTGCTGCCAGGAAAGGTGGGGAGGGTTCTGCTACTGCTCTAAAGGTTGCTCTTTGCTTTCCACAGGCTGTGCTGCCCACCTGACCCACGGAAGAAGCTGACAGGAGAGCCGTTTGCCCCCGTGTTGGCAGTTCCTTTTGACCTGTTCCCTCATACTGTTCACTGTGAGCTGGTGCTGCTGCTCAGCCGCTGACAGGCAGCTCTGAGAGCTTGGGAAGCAACCTTCTCCTGCCCTGGAGACTCGAGTCCGTGGAGTTAGGATTTTAACTTATTTTCTGGATGGGTTGTATAAAAATAAATAATTTTGCTTTTTCTCTTACCTTGGGTTGCCTAGCAACACTCTTCTTTAAGGAACCACTTGGATTTCTGGGGTGAAAAGGTCCTCTGTAGCATTTCATTGCCCTTCCTTCTCCTGCAAACCTGTTCTTGGGCTGCTGGTTAAAGCAGCCTGGAAAAGACACTCTCCCTGTGTTGAGGAGTATGCCCAGCTTGGTGTTCAAGCTGCAAATTGTGCCCTGAGTGGTGGAAAATTGCTGTAGCCCCAGGCAAGTGTCCCAGGTTGGACTTGGCTCCCAGCCAAGTACCTGGACCACAGTGAAAAACCTTCCCCTCTCCCTCTCTTCAGACAGACCCTCTGTCAGTCACGTGGATAAGTTGGAGGCAGTGAGATTTTTCTGTAAAACAAAATAAAAAGAGAACAGATTTCAGTGTCTCTGCTTTCACAACTGCCTCCCCCTTCTCCACTAATGTGTACCTACATATGAAGTGCCCTGTGAAAATGTCAGCAGTAACATTTTTCCTCCTCAGGATGTTCTGCAATAGCTAATTAAAAAGATTTCTTGTGTTCTGTACCTGTCCTGCCCTGCTCACTGTGAAGCGCAGTGTTATGTGAAGGTCTCTCCAGCTCTTCCAGAGACGTAGCTGCTGTAACAGTGGGGGGAGGTGTGAGTGAGCAGTTCCCTTGTGGTTTGTAAATCCCATGAAGTTTTGAATCAAGCCTGATGAACTCGTAAGGAAACAGGGAGAGCTGCCTGTATTTTTCAGACTTGAATTAAAGTCTTAATGAAACCTGAGCTTGGAATAGTAACAACCACCACTTCTCAAGCCACGGGGGTTTAAAATAGATGCATTTAGGACTTTAGACTTACTACACCGGTGTCCCAGGAGTGTTAAGATTTTTGCACAGTGTTACAGCCTCATTTTTGTTTTATACCAAAGGATGCAGCATTCCAGCAGTTCTGTTTTGTGTAATTATACCTTGGTTTCTTGCTGCAAGATCTGAATAGATTTCTGCTTAGCCCGGCTATGCTTTGGTCAAAAGGAAATTTGTTGCAAATTGCAGGAGAGAGAGAATGACTTTAAATCAGAAAGTAACAGAGGATCAGAAAACCTTTCCACTTGCCTCTGGAGAGCTGAACATACACAGGACAGATTTTATCTGCAGTAGGGGTGGGTGACACAGGTGGCCTCATCTTCCCTTTTGGGCATCTGGTTCCAGGAGAACCATGGGGACAAGACATCTCTCTTGCTTTCCTGGTGCAAATACATGAAGCAATATGTTGTTTGCTGTTAATGAACATCTGGATACCTGGAACTGAAAGCTGTCTGTGTACAGGAGACCCCTGGATGCTTTTCCTCCACAGCACATCACTCCTGTGCCCTCTCCTAACACCTCCTTGTTTTCCCACTAGCAAGCAACTGTTCTCTGCTTTTGGCTGCAGTCCCACGTCCCTGGAAGTGGCTCATTTTCGGCTTTCTGTGGGCGATTTATGGAACGTGCAAAGAAACAGAGGGTGACTTGCTGGCAGGAGCGCTCCAGGTGCCAGAGCTGCCTGGCTCCGGCTGCAGGGCATTAGGACCCAGGGGTTGCCGAGTGGAGGAGGCTGAATTCCCTCCCGCTGTCATCCTCCTGCCTCTGCAGCTTTATCCCTACAGCCTTCAATGGTGACGGACTCCCTCCCACCCGGGCTGGCAGCCAGAGCCACAAGGCCTCGCTAGGAGCGGATCCCTGCGGCTCCATGGCATCTCCCAGGACTATCACCATCGTCGCCCTCTCGGTGGCCCTGGGGCTCTTCTTCGTCTTCATGGGGACCATCAAACTGACCCCTCGGCTCAGCAGAGATGCCTACAACGAGATGGTGAGTGGGGCAGCGGCGCCTCGGAGTGGGGGGGCGTTAGGGCTCTCTGCCTCCCACCCCGCAGCGGGGGACGCACAGGGGGCCTGCCCTGGAGCCCCCCCGGGCGATGGGCAGGAGAGGGGAGAAGCTTTTCTGTCTCCTCACTTGATAGACATGGAGAGAAGCCAATAATACGCAGTGCCCGAGATATCCTGGCGGCCCTTGCTGAGCCTGTCCCCGGAGAAACCTCTGTGGATAAGGATGGGGGTAGGAAAAGCAGGTGCCTGCTTTGGCAGACAGATGTCCATCCTCACGATTCCGTGCTTTAAGGGAAGGATTTAAAGACGCTGATTGTCTCTACCTCACAAGACTCGTGCTGGGATTAATTCACGATTGTGAAATGCTCTGAGATTCTCAGCTGGCAGAGGGAGATATTGTTAATAGTCACCTCGTTATTCTTTTTAGCCAGGGGAACGATCCTCTCCTCCTCTTGCCTAACAGGAAAGGGGTGAGGAGAGGATGGAGAAGTCTCTGTGTGCATTTCTCACCTGGAGAGCTGGTTGATGCTCCTCTCTGCTCAGGCCCAGCCCTGCTGCAGAGCTTTGCCAGCTGAGAGCTGCAGGCAGGTGAGGGACTGGCTGCCACATTTTGCTTCCTCATCTATATTTATTCTCCTGCCTATCCCCCTACCCCCCCCTTTCCCCCATTATTTATTGCAGTAGTTGAAAAGCATTGTTCTAATTTTTGTGTCCCTAAAAAAAAAAAAAATAGTGCTGGAAGTTTCCAGCACATTCTGTTCTCTCCCTTTGCTCCACCTGCCCAGCTGCTGCTTTTCCTTAGGTCTCAAATAACATCTGAATTGCAGTGCCGTGTCTGCAGCCCAGCACAGGGATCTCACTGAGCAGAATCCCCAAGAAGTAACTCCTGAGCAAGAGTCTGAGATAAAACACCCAGAAAAGAAAGCTCTTAACCTTCTGCAACAGAAAAGGAAAAAAAAAAAAAGCACAGACTTTAGAAGCATTGCAAAATGCTTGCTCTGTAAAATATTTCGCTTCTCTGTCCTTTTCTGCTTTACCAAGAGTCAGGCCTGCAGGTGGGAATGATCTCTGGTTTTATAAGGAGAAAGCAGAAATTCAACAGCACATTCTTCATAGCCCATGTTGTCCATATTGTCACATATTCATGGCTCATTAGGCTCTCCTGCCTCTGCTGTGCTGCATACCCTGGTGGTCTGTCATGTCATGGAGACAGTGAAAACCTGACCTTGCTAATCCATGGGGATGGCTTTTTACCCCCAGCAAACAGAGAACCTCTGTTACTTACCTACAGCACCAAACTTGCAGCTTTTCATTCAGCACAGAACACAGTAGTTTGTCTATTAAAATAGTCTGGGACATGCTTATGGTACATTTCTTTAAAAAGCTGTATTTTTTTTTACAGCTGTTTAAAAATACTCTGCTCTGAGGTTTTAGTCACTGATGGTTTAAAATGCATCCTTCCAATGCATGCTTAATCTTAGATTATTTAGTAGCAAAACTGACAACGCTGTATAAATTTTAACCACATGGGAAGTGTCAGATCCTCCCAGAAGGGAGCATCAAAATCTACAGAGAAGTGAGGAAGTTCTGTGTGCCCCAAAATCATAGGGAAGTAAATGCACAATTTATCAGTGCCTGTGAGAGCTCAACAACCCTGCACCTGAGATTTGGTTTCCATTTCCCTCCCCCTGATTAGAAAGCAGGGAACACAATGCCAAGAATACCTGCAGGGAGAGTATACCCAAGTGTAGGTGGAAATAATGTCTTGAATAACTCATAGCTTCATTAAAATATATAGAGAAAAAGGAAATACTTGATTGCAAACCAACCAAACAAAATAATAAAAGCCCCCCCCCAACAAAACAGTAAGCCCACAAGCACCTCATGTTCAAATGCAAGAACCTGAACCTGTGCAAGGACAGAGGTTGTCTTTTTTCCAAAAAAAGTGAGACAGCTGTGTAAGCAGGCTGAGTCTTGCAACTTACACTGCTTCTAAATCCAGCATAAAGCAGGGAGCAAACAATGTCAAATGTCAGCTTGCTTTCACCAGAGGAAAGGAAGGATCATAAAGCAGAGGATAGGGCTGGTGAATCTCAGCTTTGATGTGTAGTCCCACGTGAAGATTGCACTGCCCATAAACACCGGGATATGGTAAGTTGCTTTGAGGTAAAAAGAGACTTTTTTATGTACTTGGTGTGTCTTGGCTTTCCTGGGTGTGTTATTGAATTTTATAGGACAAACTACTCTCAGAGGTTCTTTTTTTTCCCCACAAAGTGGTTCTGCACTGCTAATTCCAGGAATCATAACCTTGGATTTCATCTGGGCTGGTCGTAGTTCCAAAGAGGGGTGTTGGGTTGCAGAGCTGTTTTCCAGCAAGGAGACCACAGCTTATAAAGGGGGAATTGCAGGTTGATGGTTTAATATCTCCTCAACAGAAGCTTTACAGATCGGGTCAGCTTTACAGAGGGGTCTGTGATGTTTGAAGCCATCTTTGGGTCCTACTGCACATCGGTCTCTTTCAGTGGAAATCACCTTTGCCTTCCCTTTCTCACCTGCTGGTGTTGTACCCTGTGACTGCTTGATTTCAGAAACGAGCCTACAAAAGCTACGTGCGGGCCCTGCCCATGCTGAAGAAGATGGGGGTCAGCTCCATCCTCCTGCGCAAGACCATCGGCGCCCTGGAAGTGGCGTGCGGCATCGTCATGACGCTGGTGCCCGGCCGCCCCAAAGACGTGGCCAACTTTCTGCTGCTCCTCCTCGTGCTGGCTGTGCTCTTCTTCCACCAGCTGGTGGGGGACCCCCTGAAGCGCTACGCCCACGCCCTGGTGTTCGGGATCCTGCTCACCTGCCGCCTGCTCATCGCCCGCCAGCCCGAGGAGCTGCCGCCCGACAAGAGGATGCTGTCGGTGAACGGGGATGAGCAGCCGCTCATCCACGAAGCAGCTCCCGAGAAAGGCAAAGTGAAGGTATCCTAGCTGAGTGCCTGTGAGAAACACGGACCCTCGAGGCAGCTCTCTCCAAAATCACCCGGAAGAATTTGCTTTTTATTTTAAACCTATTTGCGTTTTTTTTTTTTTTTTTTTTTTTTTTTTTTGTCTGTCTAAATAAAGTTGCACTTGGGGTCTGAGAGATACAAAGTACATCTACACCGTAGTCTTGCTTTTGCTGCTGCCCTGTAATGTAGAAAAACACGAGCCAGCTTTCCCGGGGACAGCTTGGAGGCAGGCAGCAACCTGGCTGGATTAGTCCCTGAGCCCAGCCCCGAGCCCCAGAGCTGGCCTGGCTGCTGCTGTCTGGCAGTGTGGAACAGCAGCTGGGCAGGACATCAGCAGTGTCCCTGTGCTGGCCTGTGCAGCCTCACCCACACACCTGCATTTCCTTTTCCATAGTCGAGGGGTAGAAGGGACCCTGCTGACTGTAAAAGGGCAGCTGGTTGTGTTGGAGAGAGGGATCCCTTTGCTTTCGCTGCCTCTGTGCCCAGTCCTTTCTTTGGACTGGTTATCCAGGGAAAATTGAGATGTTCTGTTTGCATCTTCCTTGATTTCCACTCAGAGGCTCCAAAACTGGGACAAAGGCCTGATAGCAGTAATATTGTGCCTGCTTCACACGAGGCAGTGGCATCTCTTTACCCTTCTTGGCAGAGAGGAGGGATCCCTGAGGGGGGGATAGGGAGCAGAACAGCCCAAAGAACTCCAAAATATCTGTCTGATATCGGCAAATAGCATCGTGCTCCCCAGTTCCTTGCAAGAAAAAACCTTTTTTTTCTTCCACAGCTACTGTGACTCTATAGAATTGTTGTTTATTGCTGGTAGATGAGGGTCTGAACAATTCCAGGTACCTCATTGCTCATCCCACATAGAGCCTCGGTGAGCTGGGAGAACTCCTGTTACCAGAGCCTGAACCCCTGTGTTGTATCTGAAATCTTGGAGTGTCATAAGGAGCATGTGTTACCTCTGAATTTGTCCGGTTTTCTTAATGTTTGTCTGTTTTCAGTTTTTCCTGATTTTTTTTTTTTTAATTATTCATGAAAATAAACTTTTTGAAATTTGGAGAAAAATGTCTTTACCGAAACAAATTTCTTTTTTTTTTTTTTTTTTTTTTTTGAGAGACAGGTCTGAAAACACCTCCCTGTGGTCAAACATTGCACCTAAAATGAGCAGAATCATTTCAGGCACTTTGAGAGAGAGGCAAGGCCATGCCTTGTTGAAAGCAGCCCAGCTATTTGGCTACATATTAATAACAACAGACATTTAAAGGAGACATTTGGACATTTTAATGAAATGGTCTCAGATAAATTTTGCTACAGTACCATGTGGCCCTGAGAAAAGGTAACTCCAGTAAACTGTCAGTGTTGTATCAGTATAAAAATTGATGACGGATGTTCACATGCAGTCCTCTTCTTGAGTTTGCTGCTGAAATAGAAGCAGGCCCATAAATATATTTACTGAAAAAGCCTACTCACAGAGCCCCAGAGGGAATAAATTTCTCTTATCAGATGTGCACCCTGAGCAAAGGAACCAAGAGGCCACGTCTGCTGGACAATCTCATCCTCACAGACTACCTCAAGGTCATCCCAAATAGATACAGAACTTGCTTTACTCTGGCAGAGACACTTTATCTGCCGTGCCCTGACCGGGGTTGTTAATCACATTGTAACTCAAAACCAACCCCAAATCACCCCACGATGTGTATTTCCTGCACAAAGTCCTCCCAGCTGAGCTGCTGCAGCTCTATCTCTGGTCACCCCTCACTGAGCACCCAGCTCAGCAAACCTTCGGGAACAAGTGTTGTGTTTGTATTTTGCGACATTCCCCCCGGAATCCTGTACAGATGCCTCGATAATTCCCACGCCTCAATAAACCCCATGGAGCAAAGCCTATCCCTACAAAAGCTTCTGACCACTGAGTGAATTAGTTAAAACCATCCCCTCTTTTCACATTTGCAGCGAAATGAGCGGCTGACCCGCAGCGGTGGCTGCGTGTTCTTTGTTGCAGAGGGAGCCGGGACTCTCCCTGCGGCCCAGCAGCAGGAATTCTGTGTTTCTCTGTGGCGGCCTGACCTCCATCACTGCCCCCCAGCAGCAAACAGCTATTTTTGGACACAGCCAGCCATCTGTGCTCGATAAGAACTGCTGCGCTCCTTTTGTAAGACCTCGATGCTAATTGACTCTTTCCTCTTTTTTTGTCCTTCTTTTTATTTTTTTTTTTATTTTTTTATTTCCATGTTCTTTTCATCTCCGAATCCATAATTTCATTTCCCAGCTGGCCTCACCCAGGCATCACTGCTTAGAGCCTCGGGGTTACCGGATCACCTCCCCCGCTCGCTTTATACATCCCTTTCCCTCCCCCCTCCAACCCCCGCTCTTTTTTAAGCTTTTTTTAGGGCTGAACTTCGCACTCCCCATGGCTGAGGAGACAACCCGGGAGGGGCCGATCCCCTCACGATTTCCCGCCTCCAGGGCCCCCCTCCCGCGCATGCTCAGAACAGGGCGAGGCAGGCCGGGCAGCTCCGGAGCCCTGAGGGGCGGGGGCGGGCGCTGCGCACGCGCGGGGCGGCGGCGCGCGGGTTTGAACGGAGAGACGGTTGGAGAGGCGGGAGCGGCGTGAGGGGAACAGGACGGTGCCCGGGGTAACGGGGGGTCAGTAGCTGTGGCTGTGGCAGCGGGAGGGACTGGGGCTGTGGCCGGGGCTGGGTCAGGCCGGGCTGGGCTCCCTCCTTCCCCTCAGAGGATGCTCCGCGAGGCCGGAGTGTCCCGGGGGAGTCGCGGTGGATGCTGGATGGGGATGGGGGTGAGGGAAAGGCGGGGAGCAGGGTGAGCGGTGCCGGTGCCACACAGCCGTGTGGCAGTGCCAGCTGAGGGGGGGCTGTGCAAGGCTCGCTGTCACTCAGAGCTCGCCTTCCAGCCTCCTGGCTCTGCTCCAAGCCCCGGCACTCTTCCTGGTAGAACTCCTTCGGGACAAAACGAAAATAACTAAATCCGGGAAACTGTAGCAGAATTTCACAATTTCTAGGTAAAAGGTTGATGTCTCCAGCACATTGTGGAAAAAATGCCGCTTTTCGTGGTCGTGTTTCACCCAGAGCTGTGCAGTTTGGCACTGTTGGTAGCTCTTGTGCTTCCTGTGGTAGTTGACAAAAACTTCTCGTGTTTTCCTACCCTGCTGGGTAGAAAGGCTGCAGAAGAACCCAATGTTTGTGAAACAGAAAGATAAGTGTTGTTATGATCCTCTCAAATATGTACACAACCTTGCAGGGGCTCATGGCTTGTAACCATGACTGATTACATTGGCATGCACCATACAAGTAAAGGAGATAAAAATGCACAAAGGAAACTCAGGAGAAAACTGTTGGTTGTGTCTTTCCATCTTTCTGGTTATGTTAATTTTTTGGATCACAATGCTGTCTAAAATTTTATCAGGTCATTTTTAAATTGAAAGGAGCTTGTGGTAATTTTTCCCTTGTGATTTTTTTTTTTCCTCTAAAACTGGTTTGTCAGCAAAACAAATGTTTCTTTTCTTGCAGGGAACCAGCTCTCTGATGCTCTTCAGCTGTTGGAGGTTGAATACTTTTCTTGCCTAGTGAAGGACTGGATCTCGTGACAAATGAGGGAAATTCTCCAGTCTCAGCTGGGGGAGTGAAAAGATGAAGCGAAGACAGAGCTCCAGGACCCCAAAACGGCCTCTGGAGGTTGACCATAAAAGCCAAACTGATCTCTCTGCATGGAAAAAAAGAGGCAGAACTGACCCTGAAAAAAGTTCCCAGAGTCATCAATCTCCTGGAGATCAGAAAAATGATGTCAGTGGGAAAAATGACAGCCAGGAAGTCTCTCTGGAGAAAGCTTTGAGCTACTTTGAGAAAGGTAAGAGCACTTTTAAGGTTGGCTCTCTAAGATGGAAAACATAATAATTACATTCTTAATAAAAAGAATGATGATAATACCTAAGTTATTTTACATCTGATTTATCTCTTTAATGCCTGAAAGCTTTTGGTTACTACTGTGTTTAAAAAAAAAAAAGGAATATCATAGAATCATGGAATGGTTTGGGTTGGAAGGGACCAAACCCCTGCCCCAGGCAAAAACACCTTCCACTATCCCAGGTTGCTCAGGGCCCTGTCCAACCTGGCCTTGGACACTTCCAGGGATGGCTCATCCACAGCTTCTCTGGGATCCCTGTGCCAGGGCCTCCCCACCCTCGCAGTAAACAATTGTTTCCTAATACCTAACCTAAACCTACCTTCTGTCACTTTGTATCTATTCCCCTTGTCCTGTCACTACATGCTCTTGTAAAAAGTCCCTCTGACATCTTTCCTAATAAAAATAATAATTTTAAAATAATCTAATTTTACTTCTGTTTTCCCTCTTTAGTCCCTGAGCTATGTAGATGTTTCTTTAATGTCCTAAAAGTTCTTCCCTTTTTTGTTACTGTGTGAAGAATATGGGTGGGGGCAGTTCAGAGAAGCCTGAAGTTCATTTTCAGTTCAGAAGTTGTCACATCCCGTGCTTGTCCCACTTGTTTTTCCCAGTTCAAGGCCGTGTTTCCCTGAGAAACAACAGAGCTCTGCAGAAACACTTGGCTACTGTGGAAAGCACTGCCCTGCAACACGGGCTGCCCCCTGAGGGGTTTGAGATACTGCTCAACGTGGTGCTCAGTGGCAAATTTGGTAAAAACCTTTATGTACTGCTGGTGTGTCTTCTGTGAACCTCTCCTTCCCCTCTAATGAAACCTGCTGGAGATAATGTGTTTGTGGTGGCTGTACTGTTGGGTACTGTAGTGTAAAATTAACTTTTCTGGCGTGCCTTGGTGTAAAAAACTTGCTCCAGGGAGTGGTGCCCAGTTAAATATTATAGCTTGTTACAGATTTGGTTTTAAATGTTTTTCCTTGTGTTCATAATTGCAGGTTTCTGAAAGGCTTGAAGTGTGCCCTCACCAAGCATTGTGCTTTTGTTTTGCTGCAATTGTTTGTGTAGGTTTCGTTTCCCCAAGATCAAAATAATCAATCAAACTGACATAGTTGTAATTAGTGAAAGTTGATAAAATTAAATTGTCATCCCCACAGTCAATTTCAGCAGTCAGTGCAGCCCTCGTGCTGCTTTTTTTGGAAATGTTGTTCACCACTTATACTTCTAAATAATGAAATATTCATTGGAAAAACCCCTAAATTTCTACCTCCCTCCAGCACAAGAGGAGCACACAGAATTCTCTCCCTATAATGCAAGTAGTTTAGTGCTTTTCTTCAGTTAAAATGATCAGCTCACCTCCAGATCTGCTGATCTTTGGCTGACAGTACCATACCCTTTTTGCTGAAGGAATTGGTTGTTTAATGTTAACAGAAATTTGTTTGTTAAGCTGGTAGAAATATTTCTCATCATTTTTTGAGGTATTGGTAAATCCTTACTAGATTCTTGTACACTGTTACTTTGAACAACAAAGCTCTGAATAATTTTGACCTAAGCTGCCAAACCATATCCATGAACCTGGTACAGGAGCACCATCTCATTTGAAATTGTTTGTTTTTCAGCTGACACAGTGAATACTCGGCTATTGAAGAGCCTGACCCCAGCCTCAGCAATACCAGAAAATTCAGTGGTTACAGCTGTGTCTTGGCTCTGTGTCAACAAATGCTCAGGCAACATCCAGGTAACTTAGTGAGTGCTGACAGTAGTTGTTGCTTCTGCAGAGGAATGATAAGGCCAGGTTATTTTCAGGAAGCAAAAATCCCAAGGGTTTAATGCATTTACCAAGAATGGCAGAGACATTGCTGGGACAGCAGTGGGAACCAAGAAACATTTTATAAGCGTGAGTGGAAAGTTGCACAGTTCCTGCCTGTCTTGAATCTGTGAAGCCCTCAGGAATGATTTCTCCACCATCATTTCTGTGAAGTTCTTCTGCTGTGTAGGGCATTCTTCAACTTCAGGAAGATATCCCTTGGGTTGTGTGTACCTTGGTCCTGACAACATGGCTTGATGTTAGCACAAGAGTCATTTTGGTGTTCCCATAGTCTGCTCAAAGGTTTACATCAGAGGATTTATTTCCATTGTAGAATCATTGAGGTTAGAAA